CTGATTTACCCAAACTTAAATGTATCATTAATGTTTTAAAGTCATGCTTTAGAGAATAAATTATTTGGAAAGTCAAATAACCATTTCTGTCACTTCTAAAGAAATATTTTTTTTCTCTATTTGGAGCAGTAACCAAAGGAAACCCCTATTCATGTAGAATGCTGTGAGAAGGAGTCTTGAAGTTTTCATTCTCAGTGGTGTATCCCATATGTTATATTTCTCTTCCTGTATTTCATTTATGTGATGAATCTGGTCTCTGATCTCACTGATCTCTATGAGAACTTCTGCCTGCATAAAATAGATTAAATGAAAACTTCCGTCTTGAGGGTTAACTTCAGTTCTTTCAAAGTAAAAGTAAGAACCATCTATATTTAGTAGTATAATTAATGATCTGTAAAAATGTTTACGTAGTGGAGAAATACAAACTAGTTTTAAGACACCTTTTTCACTTACATATATCAAATGTATGGCCATAGCATCAGAGATCTGAGCAAAGTTTAATTTATCCTGACTCTTATTTGATTTCTGGGGCTAGTCCTACTGCACTAACAAGTTGAAAGCCAACTCAATGGTAAGGTCTTCTGGCTCTGCAGTGCATTCACTACTTTTTTTTTTTTTCTTTTAGTAATAGAAGTGATTGCTTAATGCTTCGATTTACTGCTTAGGACAGATGCTGAATTATCTAGGGAAATACAGAGTAGAATTTAAATCTTTGATCTGTAGTTTTGCATGTTTTGGAGAGATATGATTGATTAATAATTAAAAAAAAGGTGTATAAATCAGATAGATACAGTATATTTGAAATTATGCTCCTACTTTAAGAGGTACTGCTTATGTGAGAGTCTTTCCATGCAACAAAAGGAAATACTATGGCCAAAATCTGTATGAGTGTTTTTACCACAGTAACTACAAGACATGACCATATTGTTGTGAGGTTAGTTAGGAAAAAGTTTAAGTGGCTGATTAATATATACAGCTGTTTATAATATAAAAGGATAGGATGTATTTGCATGTGGATACTTTTCTGATACATACTCATTTCAGTGAATTAATAAACATGAAACTTCAAGAGGAAACATATTAAACATTAGTCTTTTAGGTTATTCATTTCCTCTACTTGGATTTACAGTTAAAATATTCCTGTCAGAAGGAAAGTACCATTTATCTAATCCAGTTTCCTATGAAAATACACTTAGGTGATTTTGGGAGTCTTCAATTATCTAATTGTATAAGAGAATAATTTATATCTCACTGTCAGTAACTTGTGATGCTGATTATTACTCAATTTTCTGTGAAAGATCAGACAATCTACCGGAGGCACTACATACCTTGAACTATCTATATATATTTTACTAAGAGTGCTAAATGAATAGTGACCTGTGAAATAAAGATCAATATGCTGTGACACAGTATTTTCATAATCACAAGGATGAATATATCATTTGCTTCAGCTAGATGAAAATGAAAATTTAACACTCCAAGGCCATTTTCACGTTCAGATTACATTTGGCAAGATTCCAAAAATCCATAACATTTAAATAAATGTAGTGTTTCTTCAGATTGTAACAGCTAACTTCCCAGTTTATTTGTCATTTATTTATCACCCAACATGTCTTGCTAATCTCTTCTGAAAGGTTATTCAAAAAGTGATTCTTAATTCAAAGAGCCATTAGTGGCTTTCAGGGTGTTGAACAAACACCATGAAAGTTGAGAGCCATTTTTCAAAAGCAGCTTCCTAACAGGCACATGTAGTGAATACAAACATTGAAGACCTGATTTATGCTCATAACTCAGATATTTTGGGTGAAAATTAATGGTAAAACTCCCATTACCTGCAGTTTAGCCAGTGTCAGCACTAACTTCTAAAACACTTGTGATCTTCCAGAATTAAATTCTGAGAATACATCAGCATATTAGGAAAACAGATATTGCTATTTGAGTATTACACATTCTCTCAGGTATTTAAATCTGTACATTTTCTTTGAATGAACTAATTTACTTGCAAATAGCACAGGTTATAATAATAGTTACTGTCATTAAAACAGGCTTTTTGTTAAAAAATGCTTCAATGGGTGATCTTTAAAAACAGATCCCTTTTATGCACCCTTTGATACATAATAGTCACTGAGAAGGGTACATAAATTATAAGGATCAAATGACCTGCAGGTTCAAAACAAATAAGAGGCGGTACTTAATCTTAGAGCAGGTGTTCAAGCCATGGGCTTCACATTGGTTTAAGAGCTGTTAGGCAGATCCATGCAATAAATATTCATCATGAATAATTACATGCAGACATACACATGTGGTTTAGGAAATGCCTGAATGTACAGTGAATGCCCCAGGGGAGGGTAGACCAATGAAGTATCACTTCCCGTATCCCTGGGCAAGTTACCTCAATAGCTGATCAATCTCTAAAAAAAAATAATTTAGTATATAAACTTTCCTAGCTTTGGCTTCAACATGTGCCTATCATCATGACTTTCCTTGTAAGCTTACAAGGATATTTACTATCTAAAAGTATTTTCCCTAGAGATACACTTCTGGTCTTGATTTGATTAGATCAGTTCTCCAATCTTCTTTTTCTGACCAGAGTATTTTGATTTCTCGTTACAAGACATGTTTTCCAATACTCATATAAATACACTAGTTATATAAATTCTTTTAAGTTCTTTTCAGTTAAAGTTCCACAGTATCCATCTTGAAGTGCGTGCGCCAGAAAGCAGACACAGTGTTTTCTTCATAATTTTCCTAACACTGTATTCTGAAATAAAATCAGTCTTGTATTTGTTTTATATACTATCCTTATACACTGAAGGAGCATATTCACCCTCTTGTGCAAAGCATCACAATAGAAGATAAGACTTCATTTGATAACTTTCTATGACTCAGTCTTTTTCATTCACTGCTTTCCAGGGCAGCATCTCAATTTTGTAATTGTGACCTGCAGTCATCCTTCACTAGTGAATAAGTTTGCATTTCTTTGTCATAGGGTGTTTGAAAGGATCCCTTTCAATAAGAAACTGCATGACTGGTCATCTCCAGCTATCATGTTATCCCTAAAGATTTGATTAAGGGTGATCATCATATCAAACTTGTCCTTATCTGAAAAGCAATAGAATATCATCATGTTTTAGTCTTAATCTACAGCCAACAATGGGCTGAAGGAATTAATTTCATTTAAATATTTCCATAATGACAGTTTGTCATTTTGTCTAGTTTATGGGCATGTAAAGCTTCTCATTTCACCATGAGGTTTGAACTTTGTATGATGTCTGTCCAAGTCTATTTCACAAGAGGTTAATAGATCATTGATAACAAAGTTAAACACTCCTTCAAATTTTTGCCAAGTTTATTGCCAAGAGATGAAAGGAATCTTACCAAATGACATTAAAAGTTCCAAAGAGGTGGGAAGTTGGTAGCCTGAGTGATTCTTGAAAAAGATGTAAGATTAGTAATTTTTATTGAAGGGGAGAATAATATTTTAATCTTCAGGGAAAGGGGTAGCACATATTCCAAACAGAGACCCTCTTCCGCAAAGACAAAATTAAAGATGTAGTATATTTTTCAGAAGAAATCTTTCTTTAGTGTCATTATTCAGTAGTCATTAATGTCTTGAAAGCTGGATAATCTAGAGAAGCTGCTTGCAACTGAGGTGAGGATGTAAGCAGTGTTCTGTTTTCTCATGTAAGTCTTGGTAACCTTTGTAACTGTGTTTCTGCATTTGAAGCTGTTGTAAATAAATTATTTTCTGTTCTACACAGGATTTTCTCGAGGCTGTTTTTAGAATAAGTGTCAAACAGGACATTCTATCCCTTTCTGTAAAGCTTTCTTTAAAACTGAATTACTGTACTACTTCTTTAGGGTAGAGAATCTCTTTGAAACTTCCAGGGCACTCACAGGATAGTAAAATGTGTCTCTGCTAAACAGCATGGACAATTTTGGAATTTTCAATTTTGTCTATGTAGAAGATGCATCCCATTTTACATGCTCCAAATAGTAGGAATACTATCATTGGACACTAATGGTGATGGCAAAGTTTGCAGCACTATAATTCTAGCAGTCTTTGTGTCACCTGTAAATTTGATCAGTACTAATCATAAATTTTATTCCAGGTTATGGATAAAATTGTGGACTGTACATTGGTATAAACCAAATATTTTACTATTTGATCAGAGGATGTTGAGATCCAACGATTCATCAATTTTTTAATGGTTTAATTTTTTTGTAACTCTCATATTTCTAGTAAGAAAGCTCGACAGAACTAAGACAAATACTTTACAGAGTACTAGTTTGTCAACCTCATTTGTAACTGCATCAAATAATTTTGCAAAGTGTGTTTGGTAAAAAACCCTGTGTGTCAATGGCATTTATCAAACTGCCATCTTCCAGCAGCTTATATCATGGAAATAAATATTAACAGCTTTTATGTTTCAAAGATTTTTTTTGACCATTGGAATATTCACTTTAGCATACACAAATATACAAGTTAGCTTCTTTTTCTTACAACCATAGGCCGCAGGTCTTCTATTAACATAATCTTTGTTTCAAAATAAGCTGCTCACAGCATGTGGAAGGTCATGGGGAAATCTGGGAAATTTGCAGTATCTAAAGGCCTAGAGTTCTTGTTGCATGTTCTGTTATGAAACTTTGTAGATCTTAGCCACAGGTGATTGAAATTGGGGAATTAAGGATGAGGTCTATGAACCAAATTTGTACTGAAAGTGCTAAAGTTGCACAAGTCATATTGTAGTTAACTTTTACCTCCTGTTGAATACACATAATGATACTTGTCCTGTTGAGAAATCTTTGAGATCCTTGTATGAGTTGTACTACACAAAAAGCATTTTTCTAGTTCATTAATTCTTTGTATAGAATTCAAGTAGTAGAACTCTTGAGCTCTTCAAAAGCAATACTGGTGTTGGAAATCTTCAACTAAATATAATGTCTGTTTTACATAATGCCTTTTGGGTTTTAAGTACCAAATCTCTTTACTCTTACAGAGAAGTCAATCAGAATTCTGATGGTTGCATCAGCTTCAAAAAGTTTGAATCTGCAATAAAGTATGGACAAAATGTAGTATCACCAGTGTACTTTGCCTAAGGAATATTCTCTGGTGAAAAGACAAAGTGAAAACTTCAGATCTCAAGATATTTAAAAATCAATGAATCTTCATTTGTTTCAGCCAGCATTTTAAGAACTTTTGCTGTAAATGTAGTTCTGAAGGACAGCCTTTGAAGCTTTACTGTTGACAAGTTGGGTGTATTAATTTACATGTGTATGTGTGTGTAGAATACTTAAAATATTTGAAATCTCAATTGATTCCCAATCACTCTAGTTAGGAACTGAAACTTTGTACTTTTTCTTTTTGACTTAACAGATGAAAAAGGAGCAACTCTGATTTCCAGTTACTTTGAAATTTACTTGTTCACTTCTTCAACAGTGCTTTGTTGACGGACCAAAATATCTCATGTGTAGAAACGGATTAAATTTATAGCAACTAATGCCTGGGTTTTTTTTAATCAGTAGTATATTTGTCTTTCCTTTATTGTTTCACTCTCATATATTGCTCTTTTTATGTATTACATGTTATTTTTATTTTAATATTTATTGGTTAATTAGCGATATTACTTAATTCTGAATAATTATAAAGAATTGTATATGTAAGAAAGTAAAGCATAAATATTTAGCTTTCATTTTTTTAAACAATTTTTTAAATGGAGTTAAGAAATCTTTAGAGTATAAATCAGGAACCTCAGTTTCACAGGCTGAAAATTCTGTGTATTCAAACTTTCATTTGACTTTCAGGGAAGAGTTTGGATATATCTTCTCTAGCAAGATGATTAGAGAATTTCCAGAAGTTGAGGGTAAGTAAGCATAATGTAGAATCTATCATTACCTACAAAGCTCTTCTCTTCTCTTCTCTTCTCTTCTCTTCTCTTCTCTTCTCTTCTCTTCTCTTCTCTTCTCTTCTCTTCTCTTCTCTTCTCTTCTCTTCTCTTCTCTTCTCCTCTCTTCTCCTCTCTTCTCCTCTCTTCTCCTCTCTTCTCCTCTCTTCTCCTCTCCTCTCCTCTCCTCTCTTCTCCTCTCTTCTCCTCTCTTCTCCTCTCTTCTCCTCTCTTCTCCTCTCTTCTCCTCTCTTCTCCTCTCTTCTCCTCTCTTCTCCTCTCTTCTCCTCTCTTCTCCTCTCTTCTCCTCTCTTCTCCTCTCTTCTCTTTCTCTCCTCTCCTCTCCTCTCCTCTCCTCTCCTCTCCTCTCCTCTCTTCTCTCTCTCTCCTCTCTCTCTCCTCTCTCTCTCCTCTCCTCTCTCTCTCCTCTCTTCTCTCCTCTCCTCTCCTCTCCTCTCCTCTCCTCTCCTCTCCTCTCCTCTCCTCTCCTCTCCTCTCCTCTCCTCTCCTCTCCCTTATCCAATAACTGTGAGATGTTCTTGTGTGCTGTAACTTTATGCATACATTCAGCCCTGCTGTGCTGTAGTGAAACAAATCTTTCTTATTCACTTTATCTGTGAACACTTAATTTCTACTGCCTTTGTGTATTCATAGTAACAGATAATAGAGATTTCATTATAGGCATTGTGTCCTATCATCTGGTCTACTAAGTCACATCTGTTTATGTTTACCTGACAGTTGTAAAGTTGCTTGGATTAGAGATTTCTTTTGAAGCTATCCAGAAGTAATCCCCTCCTTAATTAAACTTACAGCCTGTATCATATCTTTAATACATCTGTAAATAAATAACAAATAATAATTATCAGTAAGAGGAATAGAGTGTCAATTCTAAAGAGGGTCATGAGTTTCTTTCAAATTTTAGTGAAACGTTCAAGAGTACAATTTACACGTAAAGTAATTGTAAAATGGTATCTGTGTTTTCTGTTCCCATTATATGTATGTATCTCAGTAGGTACAGGCAAAGTAAAATCTTTATTATTTTTTTTTAATTCCAAGGTAGGTAACACATAAATAAGAAGAGGAAGTTGGAGACACTGAATATATCAGGAGGTATATCTGATACTATATAGAAAAACCCCAGATATCCATTAGACAAAATGAGCTGTAACTCAAATAGCATACTTTATGGGCTAATCAGTGGGAGCAAACTAAATTGGAGGTTTTGCCTTAGAAATGCCATTTCCCAATAGATGAATGTTTTCATAAGGGAATCATCACCATGGATATTAATTAGCAATATCATCCCAGCTTCTTCTGAGATGCAGGTGAATGAATTATCATCCCACAGGGATAGTCACTGAAGGTCTAGACACATTAATGAAAAAATGTGTAATGGTTTGCTGTGATATTACATACATTGTATTTTTTTGGTCAGTAGACTTCAGTTTCTGTGGTGTCTAGGCCCTTCCTAGACACTGAATCCATGAAGCATTATTTTATTATGATATATCATTTTGTAATTATTAATTATTTTACATTTCAAAAATAATTACTCAGTTCATAAGGAACCATTAAAAAATCTATGGCCTCTTGCTTATATTATTAGAGCAGCTGTGGTTTGTTGTCTAAATATCTGACAATATATCTGCTATATTGTGCAAGTATAGTCTTCTGTTAAATATTATAACTGACAAAGGTCTCTGTCTGCTTTTAATGTTAAGAAAAACATATCTTGTATATACGGCAAGGAACTCTAGAGAGGAAAGTGTTCTCCATCTCCTTTATTTCTTCATGCTCTCAAGCATCATTTTCTCAAGGATTTAGAATGTTGCTATGAACCTGAATTACTGAGAACACAAACACCAGGAGAGGCCAATGAAATTATTTTACCATGTTAGAATTTTTATTTTTTTTTTAAAGAACAAAACTGCATTAAAGGATCATAAGTGTTCTAGTGTCTTCTCCCATGGATACTGAAGCTGCAGATGACCACAGCTGAGTGGAGCTGAGTACGCCCTGGTGTCACTCTTTCTATTTCATAGTTTAATAAAAATTAATTGCTAACTGGTGCTTATGTGGGTTTTGGCTAACAAACTGCAGAAACATTTCAGCTATCACTACAAATTGATAAAATTAGGAATGACATTTATTAAGTGGGTTAGGAGGTGGCCTGTTCTCAGTAATGATTTGGGAAACAATAAAAGGAATAGCTACCCAGCTATTGGATGAAAGAGGCAACATGCTCTTCATTTCTGTATGTTCTCTATTGCAGGTTAAAATCTTATTGGCGACATTTCCAAGCATGGAAGGAAGGACATCAATGATATGAATGATATAAGCCCAGATTTTTTCTTTGATGGCTGCCATCTTTGGCACAACCCTGGGAACTGAATTGTGTCCCAGCACTGAAAAAGTGAGTTGCAGTAGCTAAAGAGCCATAGCTCTTTGACAAATAATTTTTCATGTACAGAACAGAGCAGAGGTGGATTTCAGGATTTACTTACCAGCATGTTATACTGTATTTTTCAAGATTATGAGCATATTTGCTTTATTATTATTAGACTTTTTGTTGTTTTCTGATGCCTCAATTAGTTAGTTAACAAGCAGGATTTCTTTGTTAAAAATATCCATAAAAAGAATATTAATATTTTTCAAGTTTTCAAGCAAGGAATCATCTGTTTAAACTATTTGTAAATTGATCCTTTATACATATAGCTTATTGCTTCCACTTTATAACAAATAGATTATATAACCATAAATACTATCCAAGTATATTTGCTTTGTTCCCCTGGGGCTTCTGTAATTCACTATAGTTGTTGAAATCTAGTAATCTGTAATATTCTTTTAAAGGGTTTGGATGATTTAGACATTTTGCCGGGATCTGTAGTGACAGGACAAGGGGCAGCTGTTTAAACTGAAATAGGGTAGATTTAAATTGGACAAGCTCTTCAGAGAAGTTCTGGGTGCCACATCATTGGAAGTGTTCAAGGCCAGGTCGGATGGGGCTCTGAGCAACTTGATCTATTGAAAGATGTCCCTGCCCCTGGGAGAGTGGGGTGGATAAGATCACCTGTAAAGATCCTTCCCAACCCAAACCATACAATGGTTCTATTTATTGATTGAATGAGCAGTAGTTAAACTATGGTCTTTGGGCAACATGACATTCCTGGTAGCATGCACAGTGTAGTATATTGAAATCTAGGAGAGATTAGACTGAAAAAGAATGCAAACAGTTAAGCCTAGTATCATGATTGTCCTCACTGAAATATTTTGTTTACTTTTTTTCTCCTGGTATATCAAATAATGAATATTTCATCCTTCTATTCAGCAATAAGAAGAATAAAAAAATAAAGATGTGCAGTAGAATATGCAATATGTCCCTATGAGGTTCCCAAAATAAAACTTTGTGTAAAGATAGTACATTAGGTTTGCCACAATGTTACTGTGTCTTCTATCTAATCAGCAGAGTGGGTGGTGGCTGACAAGTCAAACCTAGTAACTAGCTGACACACGTCACAGTTCAAAGAAAAGCTTTGGCATGACTCTCATTTACTATAACGTATCAGCTTTACACTTCTTTGGCAGTGAAACACAATCTTAAAATTAGAATGAATTAGAGCTGTATTCCTGCTTTGATTTCTTAACACTGTTCTTTAGGAAGGCTGCCCAGATACAAAGAAGGATCAGACCTGTTTGTATAACTTTTTGCGTAAAGATTGCCAATAGAAATTCAAGAAAATGCATTGCACCATTGTCCATAAGAAACGAGGATAACAAGTGGGGTTTTTAATCACAGCTGTTGTTGCAGAATGGGTGGTCACCTTAGGCCAGTGCACAAGATGTGTTAGGAAGACCCTCCTGTTGAGTCATGAGGTTCAGAAAGGACCCCTTTGCTTTCCAGCTCATCCTCAGATACTAGAGAGGCTGGATGTGGCTGGATCCAATCCTAGGCTCAGACTTGGCCAACGGTTTATGTTTAAGGGTTGTGTAGTGCTCGCACCTTCTTATCCAAATTTGTCCTGGATGCCAATACTGTCACATTACAAGGGGGGCTTCCTGGAACCCTTTATGTTTGACCAGCCTGCCAGTTTCATGAGAAAGATGAGACCATTGTCCCCAGCCAGCCCATCTGCATACTGGACAGCCCACCAAATCAGGGGGTGATACGTCTGAGCTATTCAGGGATCTGCACTGACAGCATCACCGAGTCAAATCCTTTATTTCAAATATTCAAGTATCTAGAGACTTACACAAAACAGACTTCAGCTGAAGTCTTTTATTACATAAAATACAAGTTTGTGACAGGATAAGCTTCAGTGATTGCCAGTGATAAGGTACTGTCTACAAAAACAAGCTTGAAGTGATACACAGCCAGACTACAATCACTAATAATAAGTATTAGAAGAGGGGTGGTTAGTAGGCCCACTGATGAACGGGATGGGTGCCCTGGTGACAGAAGATACAGAGATGGCAGCGTTACTGAATGCCTTCTTTGTCTCTGTCTACTCTGCTGCAGGCAGTCCTGAAGAGCCCTGTACCCCTGAGACCTCAGATGAAGTCAGGTCAACAGAGCGGTTTGCCTTAGTCGATGAGGAATGGGTTAGAGACCAGTTGAGCAATCTGGACATCCATAAATCCATGGGTCCAGATGGGATGCACCCGCGGGTGCTGAGGGAACTGGCGGAAGTCATTGCTAGACCACTCTCCATCATCTTTACCAAGTCTTGGGAAACGGGAGAGGTGCCTGAGGACTGGAGGAAAGCAAATGTCGCTCCAGTCTTCAAAAAGGGCAAGAAGGAGGACCCGGGTAACTAGCATGAGCTGGTCATTTAATGCACAAAAGATAAAGTTCTTACCCAATAGAAGTCCCTATGGAGGAGGTGATAAGTTCAGCCCATTGGCTGATCCCAGAAGTTATAACGGAGTCTTCCCTCCATTTCCTTTCCTAATTTCACATATTTATACAATTTGTTTCAGGTTAGTAACTCCCTGTAACCCTCCTACTACATACAGAGTGGTCAGTCAATTTGCATAAGGTCACATCATTGATTTTCTTACTGCATGTGCTCAGGGAAGGGTCTTTTGACCTGGGCAGGGGTCTTTTGACCTGTGGGTGTGATTTTTAGTATTATAATGAGGATATAACGAGGATAATTCATTGAAAGGACGCCCTAATCATGTGCTGACACACAAAGCCATATTTTGGTGTTCGTATGCTTCCAGGATGTGCCAATCTTCAGGGATAGTCTTTCCTGATTAGAGATTCTTTAGTCCTGTTTCTTAATCTGCCTACACAAGGGCAAAGCCTCTTCTCCCACTATCAGTTTTTAGTTTGTGAGTGTTGCTCATCCTGACCTTGTAGGAGGTCCTTGTCCAGGCATTTCCATTGTAACACAAGTTTCAGTTTTTCAAGCCTGTGCCTATGGAGTTTGAGTGACTCTAGTCATTCATACTTTGTTACTGACAGGTGTAACATTCTCATGCCTTGCTTTTAAAAATACAAATCTAGTTTCCTTGTTTGGCAGCTGCTGTGTGGTTTATCGGGACATGGAGTCTTCAAGTTCCCACTCCTGCATGGAGTATAACAGAGCTTTGTTGTGGTGCCTTCACTCCTTTCCACCCTCTTCAGTTTATCTTCACATATGCCAAGGTCGCAGGGTTGCCTGGGGAGCTATCATAGGGTAGATTCTGCCTATGCCAGCTGCATCCCACCCTGGAAGTAGCAGCTGTCTTTTACCCTAAGGTCTCCTTAGTGTTAGAATGTAACTTTCGGGAATTAGGAGCCAGTGGTCTCTAATTTCCCCCATTTTCCCACAGTTGTTTAAAGATCTATATCTGAGACTCTTATTTGCAAAAAAAAAAAAAAGCGATGAATTTTGAAGGATCCCAGAGGTTGCACATGCATTAATGCTCAAAACATAGTGTGGTTCTGAAGTTAATCCCCTCTTCCCCACATTCTGTGTATTGGTTGAATTTGCAAAAGCATTATGGTGTGTGCAAATCAAGATTCATTTTGGAGGAAAGTAAACCAAAAGACCTCTCCAGGCACACATGAAATACTCTTCAGTACCTCACGGAGACATAATTCTGAATGATGACTGGCTTGCACCAACATGAAGTTCTCCAAGTCCTCCAGAGTATATCAAGCAGTCCAGCTGACCATCAGCAAAACAGTTACAGCAGCAGGGCAGCCCATTCTCAATGTTTAGTTTTTCATTTGAAAGAAATGTCAGTGTCACTGCCTTCAGAGTCTCCTCTTGGATTTGTTTCCATGGCTCCAGACCTTCGTTATTCCATTCAGTGGGACCTTTGGATGTTGATCAAACTTAGATTGTGGGCAGAGCTGGGCAACCAGCATCATGGTGTCAGCAAGAAATGAGCAGGAACAGGAATAAAGCTGGTTTCCATTTTGAGACCATAAGAGGACAGGGCACTGATATGCAACTGTTTTCTGCAACAGACAAAAGGATGGCATGGAGATTCCTAGGGTGGAGGATCCTGAGGACAAGAAAGCCACAGTTCTGTGGCACAGCTTTTATTGAAACAACTTTGAACCAAATGTGTGGTGAGAACATTTCAACTAATTACTCAGCATCACTGGCATCGTAACACTAAACTGCTGCTTTTGCACTGAAGTGTTTGCTAATGTAGAGTTAGCCAGGGAGTCTGGGGTTTAAAATTGCTTTGATACCTATGTTATGATGAGAATCTCAGCCTTAGTCAGATTAAATTTCTCACTGACAGCAAGGAAGAGTATTTCTATGTGTACTCCAGTCAAGTTTGCATTTAGATATATAATTCTGTTACAGTTGTTCTAATGGAAATAAATCTAACATGTAAAGTAAAAAATTTGTTTCTTTTACTATTGACTTTACTAAATACAATAAAATGTTGAAGCATGTAGATAAAGATGGCTTACAAACTAGCTATGAAAAAGAAGACACTTACAATTGTTCATCTCAGTGTGAGTTGCTGCATTAAAAAACCTGAGATAGGCCTACTGAGAAAACCCTAGTAGCTGCAGTGTATTTACACTATAAATAATTTTGAAATACTTATTTTTTCCTGGAAGAGAAAGCTGTGATAGATGTTAAATAATTGTGAAATATTCAGTGACATATTGAGATGTAACAGATGCTATGGAATCATGTCATAGTCAAACGCTGTACTAATTTTGTGAGTGTCATATATTTGTTGGAATTCCTATTCATGGCTAAGGGCAATTTTGAGAGTTAGTAATATGAAATTCTAGTGATAAAAGAGTAGAAATAACAACTTATTTGATGTTTTACATACCCACTCTGCTGCAGAAGTAGCACACAGACACATTTCACTGTCTCAAAAGGCCTCAGAAGGTGGATGACTTGAAATTCTGACTTTTGACATCATTGTTTTGGAAGAGGGAGGCCCTAT